CTGCTACATCTTAAATATGTATTTCAAAGTGTATAGATATTTTTAGTCATTCTTTAGCAGACTCTGCTACGTGTTCCACTCCATATGTTAAGAGTTGGAGCATATATATCTTGTCCCCAAAATGCAGTGTTTTTGTGGAGGACCTTATATTCATAGTAAATCATATAACTTTGTTATTTTAATTCAAAAATACTGGAGGCAGCTAATAGGCCCAGTTTATAAGGCAGCTTGCAGAGGGTCATTTTAATGCAAGGTATGTCCTCCTCCATCATATTTCTGCCTGTCAGCTCCCAATGAAGTGAATTGATCTTAGACTTAGAAATTTGACAAAACTTTCCCCACCGTGACTAAGACAGGCTTCCAGTTCTGATGTACCATAAAAGGTAGATCATTTTCAGAGGGAGGGACAGGGCATCTTCTAAGACTTGTCCCTACCAAGTACCTTAGGGCAAAGCAATAGAGCTGAACTAGAGCTAGGTGTATAGGAATATAGGTGTATAAGTTTTCTTTCTGTGTCCATGTATTTCATGGAAGCACGATAAGTAAGGAAGCGATCCCAGTGCTTTTTACTGAGCAATACCCCAATCCTGGAGGGTAGCTGAGCGTTGCTCTCCCCTCACGCAGTGAATCTGACAGAAGCCATGCTCTCAGCCCCTGTTTGCTGGGTAGCAGGACCAAGGATCCTGTCTTCTTGTCCATGCATGATGACCAAATCTGTGATAGCAACTCACATATTTGCCCCTCTCAGTCTCAAAGATGTGGTGGCATTCAGTGCCTGTGCCTCAGGTCTGCCGTCCTGAAGGTTTTGGTGCTGCAGCCTACTGTAGTGGTGCGCTCATGGGGTAATCTGCTGACCTTTGGGAGGGGGCTTGGCTTTGCGTGAGAGAAAACAGGAAAAACATATTATCGTAAAAAAGAACAACCACATTACAGTGATGGTTTTCTCTCTGTGCAGTAAGTGTGTTTTCATGGTTAAAAAAAGTTAGCCAGTCCACAGTAGTTCAATGTGTTATCGGTGTTGCACGCCGCTTCTCTCAATTCTGAGTGCTGGTGGCGTAGACAAGGCAGCAGCACTGCTAGAGGGGAACTGTTTTAACATGGCTTTAAAAATGTTAATGTAATTTCTGTATTATAGTAAGTCATGCCCATGCTGATTTTTCTCCTTATTATCGTGTTCTGCTCGTCTCTTACTCAGTTTCTGAACAGTAAGATATACTAAGTGTGGAACGTTTTAATGGAAAATGTTTGGGCTCAGTTTGGTGTGGTGGTAGTTAAAACAGGATAGCCCACATTTAAGAAAGATTATTTTTGTTATGAAAATTCTCCCCTGTGGATTATTTCCAGTGAGGTTAAAGCATCTGCATGTAACACAGTTATATAAAGAATTGTTCCAGAAGCGTTTTGCTTGTGCTGCTGCTGGTGCAGGCAGGGCTGGGATGCTGAAATGGTAGGGAGGCGCAGCTGGGAGCTCTTTGTACTGCACTGCCGTTGAGCTCCCACTCTTTGGTAGCTGTTTATAGGGCTTGGGCTTAGCTTCTAGTGATTCAAACCGCTTTTCTATGTGTGGTCAGAATTCATTCTGTTTATTTCTGTATACGGAAATCCATTTTTTGACATGTACATTTTCAGTGTTCATAGATTGTTTGGGGGTTTTTTTGTGCTGTTGCAGTGGAGTTGCAATGAAAATCCCTTTGCTGTGTGTTTTGTGCATCTGCCATAAGAGCATCGTTATGCAGCCTGAGTCTGCAGCTCCCTAATATTTTAAAACAGTGTTGTAGTTCACACGCGTGCTGAAAAATTGCAGTCTACGCACGTAAAGGAGGCCTTCCCATTGCTCTTAGCTGTGAACAGACAGAAGTGAAAGCATACCTTGTCTCCTACGCAGGCCAGGCATTAGCGTAAGCAGGAAATTGATTCAGTTAACCATCGGCGTGCTCTTGCTGTCACAAAAAAGCACTATTTCCCTTGATGGTTTCCCTTTGGTTTCAGTTCAGAGAGCACGGGTGAGGGTGCTGGAAGCCAGAAGTGGAAGAAGAGCTTCTGCAATCCGCCCTGAGTCACCGGTGGGCGCTGGGGCGGGAATTACATGCTGCCTGCGACGGTTTGGATCGCGTCCCGCCGAGCGCTGGCCGGTGGTAGGTCTGGCACAGGGCTGCCATTTCTTGGCTCCTCTGAGCCGGTCTCCCCAGCTGATTCACACGGGCACCTCTCCAGCTTGGGTGAAGCATCGCCATCCACGGGCCCTCCCCCCTGGGCAGCCCGTTTCCTCCAGCGAAACAGCTGCAAACCCCGCAGCAAACCTCCTGCAAGGCTGGCAGCGGTGGCAAACGTCCCCAGTCTTCTGGGCAGCCAGAGGTTTCTGTTCTGCCCCCCAAGCAGGCAGGCTCGCCTTTTGCCTGAAGCGCGCTTTCCTGTGCCCTGAGGTGCCCTCAGCTGTGCAGCACGCTCCTGAGCGAGGCTGGGGTGGAGGAGGGACTTTCATGGAGATGCCGAGAGTCTCCATTTTTAGGAATGGGATCTGGGTTGGGTGCGTCATGAAGGTGTTTAAGGAGATAAAGGCTCTCGTTTCGGCAAGAGAGTTGGAAGGCGTTGTACCACAGCAGAGTCCTCCTTGCAGAAAGAGATGGGAATGAATGTGGTTGACTTAATGAGCAGTGAGAGCTCTGAAGGAGTTTCTGGATGGGATTTTGAGCTGGTAAGTGTGTTTTTTCTTAATGCATCTCATAACTTTGTTGCCTAAAACACCTGTGACATTGCTCACCCCAGCTGGAAGTACTTCTGGAGTTAAGGTAGACCCTTAAAGGCAAAATGGGTAAAACATGGATTTTTTTTTTTTAATGTGTTTTTACACAGCGCAGCATTAACTTGCTAAACCATACCATCAGATGATACAAGTCCTGCAGTGTAACAGGACTCAAGGAATGGGATGCCACGTAAATGGAAGAGAGCACTAATAAGAGAGAGGAAGGAAACACGTTTTGGGGTTCTCACCAACCAACAAGTTTGTAGGAAATTCGTCCTGTAGGTAGTCTGTGCTGTGGAAGTTAACGGTGACAGCTCTCCATCTGCAGCGCTCTGCTGCTGGCGGCTGCTACCGAGGCAGCCCAGGCACGAGGCTGGTCATCCCTCGGGCTGCATTTTCGCATCTCTGGTTGACGTGGGGAAAATAGAATTGCTCCCTATTAAGCGTCAGAGAACCCGGGAACCCAGTTTTCAGAGGAGAAAAGGTCAGCTGTTCAAAAATGAAAGGAGCGACATGGACAATCACCCCTGGTTTGACGCAGAAGGCTGTTCATTTAGAGGGACCAAACAGGGTAATTTGCAAACTCCAGTTGGAATAATAAGTCTTTATGCCTGGAATATGATTAGGGCTCGTATTGCTGTGGGTTACCCATGTTAGATGACCAGTTGTGCTGGAGTAAGTCTAACATTCAGCCTGGTGGAGGGCAGGGAGGCTCTCACAAGCTGGGCAGGTAGATACTGTACAATCATGAACAAGGGTGCCGAGTTACAGGAGAACGTAAACGTTTGCTGTGAAATACATTTTTGTTGGTTAAGTGCTTTGGCTTGGTTTTGGACCAGGTACTTTATTTGTCCGCAGGATTTTCTCGCCCAGTATGGGATATTAAAGTAGAAAGGAAAATGGATGTTGCTTTCTGGAGCCTAAGGTGGTCTGTGGCAGTGCTTGAGCTGCGCGTGGCACAGCACTAATTGCTGCTTTCGTGGGCCAGGAATCCATTGCAGCAGGGAGGAAGGGCAGTATATCAGTACTTGGCATACTGTTTCATGCCAACTGTAAGGTTATTAATGGTGATGTGTTGGCCCTGCTTCCCTGCGAAACGGGCAAATACCCTCAGTGACCTTACAGGAGCTGAGTCAGAGCTCTCAGAGAGGTGCTGATGCCAGTAAGAGTGACTCGAGTGACTGACAGGGCGGGTGATGCACACAGAGAAGAAATAGCGTCCCATGGCACAGCTATAAAATCGAGCGCGTCCCCCGTGAAACGATCTGAGAGCTCAGGTGCGTTGTGCTTTTGTACACATCCTGTAAGGAAAAAAATGTCTTTTGAATGCAAAGCTGCAAGAAATGAAAATCAGAGTGGCAGGTCTTGAGCTACTTGCAAGAAAACCTACTGCAAGCTTAGGGACCAGTGGCAAATCTCAAGGTTTGTGGCTTAGGGCTTGAAACAAATGTTGCTGTTTTTTCCTATTAGAAAATTAACATTGCATTCCTGTGCTGCCTATGAGCTTTGATAGGTTGAGAGAAAAACTTATGTCACGCTTCTGATTGCAATCTTGCTTTTCTTTCTTTTTTTTCCACCGCCTCTTTCAGGCAGGATTAATACAGCCAAGAACTTGCACATAATTAAGTAAAACTTTGAAAAAACAGGATTCGAGTTTACTGCTATAAATGAGTGATCAATGGGAAAAAGAAAGATGTCAAGTTAAGAGGCTTTGACTCCTGTAACACCTAAACTGAAGGTAAAATCCCCTTGCTGCCTTTTTTTTTGTACGCTCCTTGCTGTGAACCACAAAGCTGTTTTCTGCTTGAACCAGCGCAATGAACTTGTGAAGTCATGTGGGTGGGCTCTACGTTAAGTGTAGACTTTCCTGGCAGACATTAGGGACAAGACTTGGCCTCTGCTTTCCCCAGCCATGTCTGTGACTCTTGTAATTTTTTTTTGAGACTAAGAGCTGCTGCAAGAAAATTTTAAAAAACATAAAAATCTCTATTCTGCAGAAAAATTTTCAGATTGTGAAACTCGTTTCCAAAGAAGTGTGCTTTGATGCTTGTCATGTAACCATCATTTTGTGGTTCTCTGAGCGTTTTGTTTTTCTTCCATAGTTGGCACCGCATTTCCCTCCGAAATCTGTCGCACCCTGCTGCCGATGACAACCCTCCCGCGAGCAGCAGCCTGCTGCAAGCAGTAGCGAGGCGGCGTGGCTGCCGGTGAATATTTGAAGGGATTCACCCTGTGTCTGGTTCCCAGTGCAGCTCCCATGGCCTGTGACGAACCCGCTGCTCTCTCGGGCATCTTCACGCGCCAGAACTCTGCCAGCGCCGTCTCTCTGGACTTCGAGCCTGACACCGACTACAAGTTTGTTGAAACCTTAGAAGACCGATACAAGTGCGCCTACTGCCACCTCGTCCTTCGCAATCCCCACCAGACAGGATGCGGGCACCGATTTTGCCAGCAGTGCATTCTGGCTTTGAGGTCAGTGCAAACTCCTGCATCCGCAAGCTCCCCGTACTCCCCTTCCTAAAAAGAAGTCAACGCCTTCTGTAAATCAGCAGTGAGTGCCATAATAATAGTACTGATCTGATAAAACGCTGAAGGAGTCAATGGAAAGACTCTGTTGAACTCAATGACTGCGTGCTCAGTGTTTTAAAGGTGTCGTTAATGACCTTACCCAGTGCTGGCGAGGAATACTTTGGTAACTGCAGGGAAGTCAGCATAGAGAAATTGTTGATGTAAGCTTAAGCACTACTGTGTGAGATGCTGTTTTGGTCTGTCCGTCTAGCATTGCGTTGTTCAGATGAATCTGTTGCATTAATGTCTCACGGTATTGGCACTGGTGGTCAGATTAAGCTGTTTGCGTTTGTTTCTGTATAATTTCTTTGATTTTAGTGGAGTTACAAAACTGATGTGACTATTACCCGATACTACAGTCAGATCACAAGGCTTCCAGCATCCATCTGCTTGGGATTTATCTGCAGGTACCAATGAGTTTACCCCCCAGTGCTGTCTAGGAGTACACTACGCACTGTTTGGTGTACCCGAGGGCAGGATTTGGCCCAGGAAGGCTGCAGAGGAGCCTGTTCATGTGGATGGATGTCGCCGTTACCTTCTATGAATTTTAGATGCTTCATGTTTGCTGCTTTCTCTGGCTGGGTTGCCTCCCTTTTGCACTGCCTCAATAAGTGCTTTTCTGTCCCTTATTGTAGGAATCTGGAAGGCTTTGAAGACAGGAGCCATTAGATCTTTTACTGATGTAGGAAGGAGCGCGCTGCTCGCACTAGGCAAAGGCTGGGTTTAATGCATGCGGTGGGATTTTTTCAGATATGACATTTGCAAGCAGCAGATGGCTAGAGAGTAACAAAGTCCTCTTAATTAAAAACCATCTTATTAACACTTGTAGGACCAACTCTGCTTTCTGTTGCATATTCGCTGTTGCAGCTTAATGCCCTCTTAGAGCTGTGGGCAGAATTTGGCTGTGTAGTTGCCAGACAAAAGTGTTTTTGAAGCACTTTTTTGGTTTTTATGGTATCTAGTACTGATTTCTGCTAGAGTCGGATTCTAGCATAGCCCAATTTCATAAAATAAATCAATTTTTCTCTGGGTTAACATGACTCTTCTTTTGATCTAGGGAGTTGAATGCAGTACCCACCTGTCCTGTCGACAAGGAAACAATAAAAATGCATGAGGTAAGTGGCTGTAGTTTTACTTCAGCAGTCAACATCTGCATGGAAAAGGCAAGACAGCTGAGAACAAGGTGGCTCTTAGTCTGTTAGGCCTCAGGGGCAGAGCAGTTTTTGTCTCTGAAATGATGCTAAGGGAAGCAGTGTATTCAGTGATGCTCTCCCAGAAAGGAGGTCTGAGTGTATAGCTAAAGCTTTATTTTATACCTCATGTTCTGAAGTTATTTCGTTTTAGTCTTCTGTATTTCCAGTAAAGTGTCAAAGAGTTTCACAAAGTTTTAAATCTTCCCTAGTCATCAGATGTCTTTTTTTAGTAGAGAGTTTATTGACTTGCCTTTTTAATGCCCCATCTTGCTGGGTCATCTTGTTTATTTGATTGTCTTTGTTTTCACTTGGTTATAATTTGCTGCCTTAACTATTTCCATTATATCTCATTAACCCTGCAGGCTTAATTTACTTTTGGGTAACGTTTGAGAGGAAAAGATAAGTTCACGCTTCTTATTTTGCAAAATACTTGGTTTGGTTTTTTTTTTTTTGGTAATGGATTCATTTGTCCTTATTTATATGCCAGGGCGTGAAAGTATGCTACATACTTGGTCCTGCCAGAATTAATTTTCCAGTGAAATCAAATATCTCCTTCGTCTCTCCTACTCCCGATAGGAAATTGTAATCAGACTGTCCACGTGATTTTTGTTTTTCATTCACTGTCTTCTACTTTGTGTAAATTTTGATGGCAGTAGTGCAACAGTTCACAGTGCAGCTTTATAATGCTTCTTACAGGAAGACCACTAAACAAGACTGAAAGTTTGCTCTGGGGGCTTAATTTGCTTCTGCGTATGCAACTGGGAATGGTGCTGCTTCTCAGAGTCTATAGAAGGGATATCTCAGCATCGTCTCCATCCCAAAGGCGCGCTGCACTGCTTGAACATCGGAGGAGCGTGCGCAGAGCTGGTTTGGCCTTTGGGGCCTGTTAGCTCCAGCTGCTTTCTTCTAGATACAGGCAGGCTCTGTAGATACAGAGCGGTATCTTTCTTCTAGATACAGGCGGTTTTATAGCTCCTGAGCTACTAGTCCTGCTGGCTGTGGGATGGATTAGCATCTGTGGAATAACTACATGGGGAAAAAACCCTATGCTTATTAGAAAATTCATGTATGTTTTAATTTGTATTTTTAGTATACATTTTCAATATGAATTATCAAAGCCCATACTCGCAATTATGGAGTCTACACTCGTGTGCTTAAAAGATTTGTTGTGATGTTTTGCTTTTTTGTATTCTTTACAGTATCCTGTGTGACTGCATATGAAGGCTGGTTTGCTTCCTTTGCAGGTATTCAAAGACAACTGCTGCAAAAGAGAAGTTCTCAACTTGCACGTGTTCTGCAAAAACGTTCCTGACTGCAATTCAAAAATCATTCTGGGACGATACCAGGTTAGTTTGCTTGATCAAATTTTGAAGCCTTTGATTTTCATGTGAACTCTGTGTATTTATGGTAAGCTAAATTCCCGAGATTGTCTTCAGACTTCAGAGTTATTGTAGCAATGTGGTTTAAGTACAAAGATTATGACTTAGCTATACACTGTAAGTAACAAATGTTAAGCTCAAAATATTATGGCTGTTGCCTTGTTCCAGCTTTGCCTTAGGTTATTTGTTTAATAAGAAACATTTGCTTTATGTAGCTTTAGCATATCCCCAGTGCCTACACATACCTTCTGTATGCTTAGGCGCCACGTGATGGTTGATTCAAGAAAACTTGCCAAGACGTACAGGCCATTTGGGCCTTTTTTCGGTATAGCAATTGAGTGAAAAGTGGAAGTCATGCAAAGGACTCTCCAAATTTTCACGTTCGCTTTAGTTTTGAGGTTGGAAAAGGAGGAAGTTTATGGAGGAAAAAGTATTTGGAGTTTTGTTTGTTACCGAACTGCCAAATGTTTCTGTGGGTCTGTTTGGCAATTGGAGATACGATGAAATACTTTGGGGTTTAATTTGCTGTTGCCTGTTGCAGGAGCATCTTCAGCAGTGTTTGTTTGAAAGCGTGCAATGCACTAACGATGGATGTTGTGATCAAATTCTTCGGAAAGACTTGAAAGAGCATTTGAGCCAGCATTGTAAATTTCGAGAAGAAATGTGTCAGTACTGTAATAAATATGTGGTGTTAATTAACATGAAGGTAAGATTATAAAGCATTCCCTGGGAATCCATAGCACATGTTTCCTCTTAATGTTGCTGAGTGAAAAGTTCCCAGCATTGCAATGGGGCTTAACAACTCTTGAAACAAAATTTGGCCGAGTAGGTGAAGGAGAAGGTATAATGAATGTGCTCTAAATAATGTCAGTTACTGTTGCTCTCTTAGGAACAGCAACGTGATACGGGGTTTGCGCGTGTATGTTTGGGATTACTTTTTGCACAGCTTCCTCTATGTATACTACTTTACAAAAATGCAAACGATTGCCTTGTTTTGTTTCTTTTTCCCCAGAATCATGAGAAAAATGACTGTCCTGATTATCCTGTGCCTTGTCTCCAAAACTGTTCACAGATAATTCTGAAAAAGGAGGTACTATTGTTTTTTTCATATATTGTGATTCATCAGGTCACACACGTTTATGAAAACTGAAAGTTAGCTTGCAGACCACATCAGCCTGTGCCAATAAAACTTCACTGCTCAAAGTATTTTCTTTGTTTGGTCCTAAAAGGACCATCGTACAAGCGAGGCGTTCGGTCACTGCAAAGCATCGACATTTTGCAGTATCAGGAAAATATCTGGCTTGCTTATTGACTCTGAATACTCATTTTCCTCTTTACGTGATCAGTGGTGTCCTGACGTTGGCCTTTATTCACCCTTTATACAGGCATTCAGATTTTATCAGTGCGGCAAGTTACTTAATATTTATTTCATTGCAAGTTTCTTTGTCAATACATGCAGATTGAAAAGCACCACGCTGTGTGTCCTGAGGCAGAAGTGGACTGCCCGTATAAGCAGTACGGCTGTCTTGTAAAGGTACTGTTTTATGGATCTTCTTTGTACTGGGACTGGAATTTGTCTCCCAAACCAATCAGAGTCATTAATCAAAATAAGCAATTTTTGTTCTTTCACAACCATTTCTAGTATCGGCTAAGGTGCTGTACCAGGGAATCAGGACTGCCATTGCCTCAGTTTCAAAGCACAGAGGAGACATTTTAAATGCTTGCATCAATAAATTTTTTACTAACAACAGCTTCAAAAATCTGCTTATCTTGTTATTTTATTCTTTCACTTCCCCCGCTAAGGTTAAAAGAGGGAAACTTGCTGAACATGAAAACGGCGCCCTGAGGGAACACATGCTGCAGATTTTAGACAAGAACTCCCGGTTGGAAGAACAGGTAAGTCGTCTTTAACAAGCACTCTTCAGCGGTTCTTGGCTGGTTGGAGGATCGTGCGAGATTCTGCATTTGTTGCCTGGTTTAGCTCAGCTACATTTTAAAAGACTGTTTTTATCGTCTCTGCACACCTCAGAAGTCAGAATAAGCTCTTCTAGTGAAGTCAGTCAATTAGATGGAAACCTGTCTGTGCTCAGGCACGTATATTCTACACCAAGCACGGTGGGAGGCTCGTTGCCATCGCTCACCTCATTTGCTTTCAGTCTCTGCTTACAGTCGATATGAGGTTTGGAGATAAAGCATTTTAAAGTTTCAGTGGCCGTTCAGATTGCTCCGAAAAGGAGCCTTTAGATGCCCAAGTTACCCCCTCTGCAGAGGCAGCGCGGAGGAGTGCAGAGCCAGTTGCAAGCACTTTTCCACTCGCGATCATTTCTGCAGCTCCCAGCAGGTGACCCTGGGTGCGTGCCCAATCCTGCTGAGGTGAATGCATCCAAACTGATGGTGGACTTAATCTTCTCCTTGTTGATGCTAAAAATAAGTGCCCCAAAGTGCTACAACTTGGTTTTGGAGTTAGTATCCCTCACTGACTCATCTCTTTTACTGGTTAGACCCCAGTAGAGAAAAAAAAAAATATATATATATACATACGCACAGAAACACACATGCGCATGTGTGCGTGTAAGTATGTATTATCCCCCTATAGAGCCGAATGGATCATCATGATGGGGATGAGAGATACGAGTCTCTTTGCACCTGTTGCCACACAGATCTGTTAAAGAATATGACTACCTTATGTTCAGTACTTGCCAGCGCTTATCCACGAATTGTGAATTAAGTAGTGCTATATCTAGCTAAGTTAGAGGCTTTGCGCTGTAAACTTTTCCACTTTCTCCTATATAGTTACATATGTTTTAATTTGATTGTTGTATATTTTGGTGTGCCTTAGCATTTTTACTCTTGTTTTTTCCATCTGTAGATATCTGACCTGTATAAGAGCCTGGAATGTAAAGAGATTAAAATCCAGCAGCTAGCAGAGGCCATTAAAAAGTGTGAGAAAGAATTCAGACAGTTTACACAACTGTTTGGTAAAAATAGCAACTTGATGGTAAGCACACAGGTGAGATGTTAATTTTGGCTTTTTTGGCCAATTGCTTTTTTGTATCCTTAAATGTGTTTATCCAGCAATAGTTGTTATTAGTAGCAGGGCAATAACAAATACTGTCTCCCAGACACTTCACGAGCCCTTCTTGTTTTTTTACAATACAGTACTGTCTTTTCATTTTAACCAATAAAGAAGTTTGGATATCTGGTCTGGATAAATTGGATTGGATAAATCCTCATGGCCGGATCCCCATGGCAAATATGTAGGTGTAAATTTGAATAATCGGTTGAACGAAGTGATGCAGTGCAAATGGATCTGAGTAAGGGCTGGCTTCTCAGTCACTAAAGACTGGATTAATTGTGAAGGAGCATTTGGCTGGGTTCCTAAGCCAGCGGAGTCCTTTTGAATGCACCCTATAGCTGATATTGCTGACATGCTAAAGGCTTCTTTATCTTATTTCAAATGAAATGGCCGGTCTTGTCTCCGCTTCCACCCTCTTCCAATGGTATGAACTGGGAAGGCTCTGGCCAGTCACCTGGATAAGTCTGCGCGCCTGGAATCGCAAGTGAAACAGCTAATACAGATGGCAAACCAGCAACAAAGCAAATTAGACTTGCGACCCCTGTTTGACACAATTGAAAATGTAAAACAGAAGATTGCCCTGATGGAGACATACGATCAGCGCTTGGGTATGTTAGGACTTTTGTTTCTTTTCTGTGCGGGTGTGGGGTTTCTGCTGACTTACTGGTGGCTAAGTAGAGGCTCTGGTGCTACAGTCAGTCAATTGCAGCTATTAGCCAGAAGGGGCTTTCTTCTTCTCGCTTTCTCAGGCCGTGCCGTGGTGGTACACGCTGCGTCCTCCCGCCTTCCCCTACTCCACAATGTCTCCCGAATTCCTGTGGCACTGCAGGGCCAGAGAGCTGGGCTTCGTCAGGCTGGTGCGCTGCGATGGAGGCAGCGGTACTGTCCATAGTCGGGCATTAAACCTGGCTTGTAGTTACAGGTTTTCCTTACTCAACTACCAGCTGCAATTACAATTTTAAAAAGTTAATAGGTGTAGTAGCACTAGTTAACAGCCTGTACTCAGGCTTGAGTAGTTCAGTTTTGCCAGCTCGAGTCTGGTTGCTTTTTGTATCCAGTGCTCTGACAGTTTTATTTTACCAAGCGTGTGTCTGGTTTTTTTCCTCCAGTTGTTTTGGAAGGTCAGTCCAGCAAACACGATCTCCAGATCAATATTCACAAAGCACAGCTCAATAAAAACGAAGAACGGTTTAAGCTTCTGGAAGGCACGTGCTACAACGGGAAATTAATCTGGAAAATCACAGACTACAAGATGAAGAAAAAAGAAGCAGTGGAAGGCCGTGTCCTCTCCATATTCAGCCAGCCCTTTTACACCAGCCGCTGCGGGTACAGGTTATGCGCGAGAGCCTACCTGAACGGGGACGGCTCAGGAAAGGGGACACACGTCTCTCTCTACTTCGTAGTGATGAGAGGGGAGTTTGACTCGCTGCTGCTGTGGCCTTTCAAGCAAAAAGTTACGCTTATGCTTTTGGACCAAAGCGGGAAAAAAAATCACATCATGGAAATCTTTAGAGCTGACCCCAATAGCAGCAGTTTCAAAAGGCCGGACGGGGAAATGAATATTGCCTCCGGATGTCCGCGCTTTGTGCCGCACACGGTCCTGGAGAACACAAAGAACACCTACATCAGAGATGACACTCTGTTTTTGAAAGTGGTTGTGGATTTAACCGATCTGGAGGAACTGTGAAAAGCGTACCTGATCAATGTGACTGCTTTAACCATTAAGAAATGCTTTCTTGGTGACTACCAGCCATGCAATAGTGTATTGCCACTAGTCAAGCTACTGATAATGTTTTGAGGCTTTTGGACTGCCTAACAGATAATGAATTGCCAAAGCATCAGCCTTTCCCTTTTTAACCTTTTTTTCAAGACTGCGTTTTTAAGGCAGCTAGAAGTCCGGTTTGATGTGAACATGCATTCGATCCAGACCTGGCTCGGTCCAGGCTGGGGGGAATGCTTGGCTCCCATCACCAGACTGGCGCTTGGAGGTGAAACTCCTCCAGTAAGGCCCGTGGAGCCCAAGCAGGCCTGTGGGCTCCCGTCCCTCCCACAGAACTGATGCCATGCCCAAGCACGTGAGTGCATTTAGCCTGTCTGAAATGGAAACGTTTCAACATCAGCACATTTGAATCAATGTATTACGATCCCTCCACTTCCCGGATTTTTGAAGCAGGGAAAACGGCCTCAGCCAGGCAGGGAAAACATTGGCCTGGGATCTTGTATCTTTTTGTTGTTGCTGTTGTTTTAATTTTTTTTTCCAGAAAGCCCAGAGGACGATGCCAATGCCTCTTACTTTTCTAGCCTGATGTTTCAGCTGTATGGAGTACCCCCAGGCCACAATAGCTTTGTTATGTCCTTTCCGTTCCTGCCTAGTGCCTTGGGACTGATTTCCATTGGTGGTAAACATCCTCAGTCCCCATCTGAAATCAAAAGAAGCCGCAGGCGCTTCTCACCTCTCAGGACATGGCCCGAAGCGGGGTCCTCGGCCAGCCTGCCAGCTCCTGGCTGCGCTGCTGGAAGACGAGGGGCAAAACTCCTGTACTTTTGCTCCCACATCTGCACAAAAGAGATGTTTTCTGGCCTACCAGCTCTACAGAAGGCAGGAAGAGCTTTGGATATCTGCTTGAGAAAAAACCCACATAAAATGCACTGTTCCCCTCTGCTAGAAATGGGGATGTTTGGGAAAGAAGGAGGAAGATGGACTAGGGAGTGAGGCTGCTGTAAGAGCCCAGTTCTCACAGGTAGTGCAGCTCTAGGGTTTGTTAAAAGGCGAGACAGCTGCTGCGTAACAACCGCGAACTATGAAGTACATCTGAAGATCTTAATTTTTATTCCAAGTTCCCTCCAAGGGAATGTGTGCATTGTATGGGGTTTACTGGAGACGCACTAAAACCACCAAGATCAGGCACTGAGGAACAAGTGACAAAGAACACACGTGCCTTTTTAAAGCCTTTTGGGTGCCTGTAAGAGGGATGTCATTTTGCACACTCGGTCATTTTGTTATTACAAGTGACAGGATTTTGTGTCTCTCGTCTCACAGATCAGGTAGTGGAACATCGCAACGTTGTCCATTGCTCCTGCAGTCCGCTGGCAGAGCAAACCCGGAGCTTGTCAAGAGACAGCAAGAAACCAAGCTGGGGTTAGAGTAAGAGTAAACTAGGCAGGATAAAAATCAAAACGGTGCACAGACTGCAAGGTATAAGGTAGTAAATTCAAGAGGGCAAATGTGGCAAAATCAAAAATGCCCTTTCTCTGCGGGATGCTGATATCAACTGAAGTAAGACGATTTGGGGATTGATACCAAGACGAAGGCAAAATACCATATTTTATATCTGCAGTCTCATTGCTAGGCATTTGCTTTCCCACACGGTTTCTAGGACATAATTCAGACACAAATATTTTCAAGTTCGGGGGTGGGAGGGAAGAGCCCTTAGTTATCTGTACCTCATGGTGAGTTAGCACATCTCAAATCGTTGCTTTATGTCTAGATGTCCTTTTTGTTGTACGATGTCAGGATGTACTGGGCCACCCTAGGGGCTTTCCGTGTTCCCAGAGACAGATGGCGAGGGACGGATGTTATTCTTTTGTACGGCCATGACTGACTTTAAGAGTAATTTTGGCTGTGCAACAGAGAGAATTAGGCCTCATGTCCTTAACACTTCATTACAGAAAGAGCAAGCTTGGTTTGAAAATGGTGTGGCATTCTAGGACATCAGTCCTGAGCCTCGGACGTGGACTTCGTGTCGATGATTACTTTAATATTTGTCATGTAACTTTCAAAGTGGCACAACTTGTATAATAACCACTAATAACTGACGGAAACGTACCACCCGTGTTTCCTGGGACTTTCCAGTACGTTAAGCGTAAAATAGAGAAAGCGATAAAGAACTTGGACAATCAAGGGAGGCAAGAGGGAAAGGATGCGGTCTGTGTCCTGGCAAATTCCCAGCCCTCTCCGCCTCTACCACCCCAAGCGTAAAATAGGGATGATAATAATACTTGCAGAAGCGTTAGGACTATTTAAATGTTTATGAAGAATTTTGAGCATGAAAAGAGCTAAGTATTATTAAAACTCCATTTCTAATTGTTAGAGTAGGTGATGGCATAGTGACGTGGACAAGTGTTTGGTGTGTTCCTGGACAGATTCTGAAAGCATGTTCGGTTTTAGCCAGTCCGTACTGTAATCTCTCCTCTACCTACCAGTTGGGTTTAGGTTTTTGCCACGAATATTCCTTTTAAAATTTTGAAGCACAGATGATTCATCCTGGGTGATGGAAACATCCCTTTTGAAATACTGCCTGTTTTTTAAAGAATTAGTTGAGAAAATTAATTTTTTTAAAGACAACCTTCTTTAAATTGGTTCTTTTTATTACAACAATTGGGAGTTTTATGTTAAAATTTTCAGCGATTTTTACTACTTGTAAACAAACCGGATTTTAAATTTCATCCCATTCCTAATAAAGAAACAAATGTTGTATAGCATGAATTGTCGGGAAGAATTTTGATGTTGCATGAAAAACACCAAAAAACTTTTCAATAATATTGTACTGGGTAAGTAACCAAAAGAGCATCGGGTATTTCTACATCAGCATACAGTATGTTTTTAATGTATTTATTGACAGTTTGTAGTTGTTTGAATATCTCTTACTACAATACAGGCGTTTTTCTAGCCGAATGTCATCACTGTATACATAAACTAATGTAAGAATAAATAATTTTACCATCCTTCTGGAGTGAGCGTGGCATATATTCCTTTTGGCTGGATTTAAGCAGACGTTTTAGAAGGATGTGGGATACTGGATATTTGCACTCAAAACTTTGCTGACAATCCAGAAGAACCCCGACACTGCTTTAGATTAAGAATCCATGCGCTTCACAGATATTTTGGTTTATACTTGAATATCGTAAAGCAGCTGCACGTGGAAGTTCAGTCAATTCTAAGCGAAGCTAGATCAGATGAAGATCCATGAGGTCCGAGGATCCATCGGAATCCAACCAGGACGTTATTTCTGTTTGGAGCAGGTTTGGGTTCAGCTGAGGTTGGATTTGTTTCAGTTCAGGCCGGTAAAAGAGGAATTGTTTCAGTATCCCGTGAGTACTTCATGCTTGAGAACGTGGTATTTTAAAAATGGGAATGGAAAACTTGGTGGGGTTGCGCCCAAAGTGTCGGAACTCAGCTTGTGAAAAACGTTAGCATCTGCCTCCCATCCCTCTGTGAGAGCTCGGACACCCCCTCGGTGCCACGGGGTGTCCCAGCTCCGTAACTACAGCCCGTAGGGTGGAGGTGAGGGACAGCCTTGGCACCGCGAGAGGGAGCGGGAAACGAGGTCCCAGGGCAGGACTCCGGCTCCCTTCGTCCGTTCACAGGCAACTCCGCTTGACTCAGGTCTGCGTGCGTGGAGACGGAGACGCGCAGGCCTGTGCCGGCATACTGTGCACGGCAAGAGGACGGGGGGAAGCTTGGGCTGGGGGGTCCGCGCTGCAGGAGCCGCAGGCGGACGCG